GGCACGAAAAATGCGTGAGGACCCGACTGCCTTCCTGCGCAACGTGCTGAGAGCGGCCGGGTAGGAAAAAAAGCTTTGTGGCCGGGCGGCGAGCCTGAGCGCCGGGGACAGAACGCAGGAAATTGCTGCCTCCGGCCCGGGCCTTTTTCAAACTTATCATCCCATGACGTACAGCAGCGATCAAGGCGGCGACTCGTCGATGGTGGCGGCAGGCGAAGCGCCCCGGGAGAACACTCCGGTCGTTCAGCAAGCGTACTACGAGCAGATCACCTCGGGCGCGGTGCAGAGCAGTCCCGTCCTGAGCGCCACCTACCAAAGCACCACCTACCAGAATGGTCCCACTTACCAAAGTGGGCAGAATGGCATTACCTACCAAAACGGCACTACCTACGAAAACGGCGCTACTTACCAGTCGAGTAGCATCATGCAGTCTGGCACCCGGCAGGCCCTGGCCCAGCCGTCTGGGGCGCAGCAGCAATCGGGCAATTACCAGAACGGCTCTCTTGCCTACCAGACGGGCACCACCTACCAGAGTGGAACTGGCGCTGCCTCCTCCGGCGCGTACCAGACCGGATCTGCGAACGTTCTGGCTTCTAGTGGCATGAACGCTACGGGCTTGGCCACGGGAATGACGACTGGTTCCGCTGGCTACCAAACTGGCACCGCCTACCAGACGGGAGCCACCACAACCACCTCCTCCACAACCTACCAGACCGGCACTGGCGCGGCTTACCAGACAGGCTCCGGCACCGCTTACCAGACAGGCTCCGGCACCGCTTACCAGACAGGCTCCGGCACCGCTTACCAGACAGGCTCCGGTACCGCTTACCAGACAGGCTCCGGTACCGCTTACCAAACAGGCTCTAACACCGCTTACCAGAGTGGTTCCGGCAACGCTTACCAGACGGGCTCTGGCAACGCTTACCAGACTGGCTCCACCTCTTACCAGACTACGGGCGGCTACAAGCAGGTGGGCCGGGAGGAGGTCACGTCGGTTCGTCAAACGACGGGGGCCACACGTATTATTAGTGAGCGCATTGTAGAGCACGAAGTGGTGGTGCCGAAGAAGATTATTCGCGAGGACGTCGTGGAGAAGGTCATTGTGGTGCCGGAGAAGATTATCCACGAGGAGATGCGGGAGGAGGTTCAGAAGATTCGAGAGAAGATTATCGAAGTCGCTGTTCCGGTTATCCAGGAGACCGTGGTGGAGATCCCAGAGATTGAGTATGTGGAGAAGGTGATCGAAGTCCCCGAGGTGGTTCCGAGGGAACGCATTGTGGAGGTTCCCGTCATTGAGTGGCAGGACAACATAATTGAGGTTCCCGTAATTGTTACTAAGGAGAAGATCGTGGAGGTGCCCCAGATCGAGTACCGCGACGTGCCCTACGACACTGTGGTCGAGGTCCCCGAGATCAGGGAGAACGTCGTGTATGTCGAGGTACCTAAACCTCGGTATGTGGATGTCCCCACTCCCGAATACCGGGACGTCGTAGAAGAGAAGGAAGTGCAACGCACCATTCCGATTGCTGTAGAGGCCATCACCACTTGCCGGTTCAACATACCCAAAATTAAGCCCAACTATGTCAAGGTGGACATGCCGCTGTTCGTGCCTCGCTTCATAGAAGTTCCCATCGCCGTGGATTCGGTCAACGCCGCCACTCTCTCCCACGCTGAGAAGCTTACTAAGCAGTTGAACGCCATCGTGCAGAGATCCACCATCAGTCTTTGCGAGATCGAAACTCTCGCCCACGACATCAAGCAATTCGAGACAGTCGCTTCTTCCTCCACGGTTGACCAGACGGCTGTCATTCAGGAGGCCTGGCAGTCCGGCAAACTGGTCGTGGATCAGAACTCTATGGCTTACACTCACTATGAGACCGCCACTCCTCTTATTCAGTAACTCAATCACTTGATCCTAAGCTTTTGACCTCAAGGCTTTCGACGGAATGGATGTTAAGACGAATAACTGGTCGCCCTGGTCAAAACTGCAGTCCGGTGGTCACGCTCATGTGGCGGCTCGTAAGTGGCGGGGTGGCTATCTAATCTGTGAACAAGCATTTGTCGATGGGTTAAGAGCAGTTTCGTCGAGGTCAGCTGATTGCGGTTAGGAAGCATATGATCAGCTTGCTTATGGGGTCAGTGGATCGAGAAACAATGTTGGTTACTGCTCTACAGGAGACTTCTCTACAGGAGACTTCTCTACAGGAGACTTCTCTACAGGAATACAATTACTAAGTTCCGAAAATAGGGGTGCTGGGAGTTTGTCCAGCAATTTTTTTACGACCAAAAGACATGGCTCCGGGCAAATGATGTTCATACTCCCGTCAGCAAAAATTCGTGCGGCGACCTCCACTAATCCCGACCACCTCCTCCACTAACCCCGACCACCTCTTCCACTAATCGACCACCTCCTCCACTAATCCCGACCCCCAGTAGTCGAAAACGTCTTAATTGTGGGCGCTTGCTCGGTTTTATTATATTATAATTTGAGATGGCGCCAACGAAGCAAGCTGAGATTATTAAAGCCTTGGACGCAAAGCCGTCAATAGTGGCTGATGAGGAGATCCGGTTTCGGGTGGATTTTCTGAAGGATTATCTAAAGCAACGACCCTATTTGAGGGCTTTGGTTTTGGGTATAAGCGGAGGTCAGGACTCGACTTTAGCAGGAAAGATGTGCCAAATAGCTGTGGACCAACTTAACCAGGAAGGGAAGAACGAGTACTCGTTTATTGCAATTCGCTTGCCGTATGGAGTGCAAGTGGACGAGAAGGACTGTCAGGATGCCCTAAGTTTCATCAAGCCTTCACGCACGCTCACCGTAAACATTAAGGAAGCGGTGCTTGCTTCGGAGAGGGCGCTTGCGGAAGCTGGAATCGAGCTTTCAGATTTTGTAAAGGGAAATGAGAAGGCCCGCGAACGAATGAAGGCGCAGTACTCGGTAGCCGCCATGACCAAAGGAATAGTCATTGGCACCGACCACGCCGCAGAGGCGGTCACAGGCTTCTATACGAAGTACGGAGACGGAGGTTCCGACCTTAATCCGCTTCATGGGCTGAACAAACGTCAAGGGCAAGCAATGCTCAAGTCCCTCAAATGCCCAAATCACCTCTACACCAAGGTTCCCACGGCCGATCTGGAGGATGATAAGCCTGCACTCCCGGATGAAACGGCGCTCGGCATCACCTACAGCGAGATTGACGACTACCTCGAAGGTAAAATCGTCAGCGAAAAGGCCCAAGCTACTATAGAAGCATGGTACATGAAATCGCAACACAAACGACAACTACCCGTCACTCCCTACGACAAGAAAACGCAATAGCAATCAACTGACAATGCAGGAAGCAGCAACGTGAGCGATTAGTTCAACGAATAATGAGCTACATGAATAGGTATTTGTATACGATGAATGATGTGCAGAGAGAGTTGGTTGAAAACCGGCGGTGTTTAGTCCGTGGCTGCAATGTCGGGTACGTGAAACGCGTCGAGCACTGCAGCTAAGCCATGGTCGAACGGTCGTGAAGCGGGCTCGGCATTTTTCTTGCCCTCGCCTGGGGCCGTCCTGTCCGCTTTGCCCCAGTCGTCGTGGGACCACTGGCCGGCCCAGTCGTTCCAGGACGCTGCTTTGGTGTCCGAGGTATTGCTCGTGTCCTTGTCCGGAGTTTTTTCCTGACCCCGTAGCGAGGGCTTCTCCACTTCGGGCGCAGAGGCGAAAATGCCGGCCGCTCTCGCTGGGACCACCGCAACGGTCACGCCATTGTCTCGGGGCCCCATGTTGGCCATGAGCGACAGCGAAAACTTCATTGCAAACGATGCACCTCCGCCAAGCCATGTTCGCTAACACTTCCTGCGGGACACTTCCTTGTGGGACACTCCCTGCGGGACTTCAACAAGTCCCTGACCGACGTCAGGAGTCATTGATTGTTCTTAACGAGCCATTAATGTTAAAGAGTGATTAATGTTAAAGAGTCATTGTTGTCAACTGATCCGCGATGCCCACTGCGGGTCAATAAACTCTGGAGAGGTTGGTGTTGCTCAGAGGGCCACTGTTGAGGGATGGTGAAACGTTTGCGCCATATCGACGTTTGTGCCAGCGTTCGGTGTGTGCAAACAAGTTTTTTAGCCAATAAATGTCAAAGCTCTACCAGGACATCAGTCGAAAGCCGTCATACTGGGACCGGAAGAGCGGTGAGTTGTACTCACGCACCGTCAAGCGTGCGAATATCAGTGTTTTACATGTGCATTGTTGTCCATGCATAACATCTCATATAACATCTCGTTTTCAGCATCAAGTCCGCAGGCATGGTTTGAGGCGTTGGCGGTGTCGACAGTGCTGTATATCGGTAACCTGCCTTTTGACATAACGGAGGAACAGTTGTTCGAGCACTTTTCAAGAGCAGGGAACATCATTCGGTTAGTAATTGGGCTGAATCAAAAGGAAAGGTCGGGTTGTGGGTTCGCGTTCGTCCAGTACGCGAACCACCAACAGGCGAGCTTTGCCCACACGCTCCTGAACGGATCCACCCTCGGGGACCGCATCATTCGATGCGACTGGGATTCAGGGAAAGGCATTATGGGAGACCGGAAGTTCGGGCGGGGTGAGTCCGGCATGCAGGTCCGAGACGACCTCATGAACAAAGCGTACGACTAGCTAGACTAAATGAAAGCGGCTTCAGCTAACGGTGAACTACAGCTAACCCAATGATACGACGACTCGAGCCCACTTTTAGCTCAAAGGAGGAAATTCTGAGAAGACAAAAAAGGGCCAACCTCGTGACAGTAAAAACGCAAGCAGGAACATACGCACGTAAACCTGATGCACAGAGCAGGCAAATCCTCCACTGGGAACTACTCCAGGTGGGAACGAACGCTACCAGCACCACTACCGCCCGCGGGGATTTTGGAGGCAAGACTTGGCACGGCTGAGAGCCCAGGAAAGCGCAGCTTGTTGAACAAAGCTTCGCGGATACCGCCAAGAACCATGCCGGCAGCCTGTGCCCTAATGTCTTCGTCCAGACATTTTGCCAGCACTGCTTTCTTGACGTCGTCTGACTGCATGGTCTCTACCAAAAGTTTGGTCGTGGACTCTTGAACCGGTGGCTGCTCAAGTAACTCGTCTACCTTCTCAACCATCGCTTTCGTGACCCCTTCGCTTTTTAGCGCGTTTATCATCAGGCTGGAAAACGACTCCACAATCCGGTCATCCGTGCATATTTTTGCCACTTCATCCACCAAACGATTACGGACTGCTTCAGGGACGACTTGCCTCTCAAACCAATTAATGGTGCACTGTCGCACACGTGTGCGCAAACCATTTCCACCTCTCCGGTGGTCGCCAATCCGACCGCAAGCGGCCCTCCCAACATTGCGCACGATGGATAACGCCTGCTGCACTTGATTATATGATCTTCTGCCCCAAGGCAGCCCATTTGAGAGCCCTGAAGATCCTCCAGACGCTGCAAAGCCCAAGTCGGCGGCTTGGTGCGCACCCAACAGACCTTCACGCAACCTATCCAGGGCTGGGGTCATCACGTGACGTCGCAGTGGCGAGTATCGATCCCACAAGTGCACACCTACCAATGATCCCACAAAGAGACATCCCCGCAGCATGGCCCGTCCCCGCCGTAATTTTTTTCCCCTCACCAGATCGGCCATGACCGGCGGCCGGATTATTGGGGTTCCATTCCAGTACGGCTCTTGGAGCGTGTAGTGGCAGTAATCGGTTCCGGAATCTCAACGCCATTTTAGGCACCTAGCAGTTTAATTGTCGGGACAGTATACATGACCAGTCCTGTGCAGAATCCCCAAAACAAATTAGCTGGTGGACGACCTGGGAAGGTCTGCCCAGACCTCCCGAGCCAATGACATGTGCGTGTCGGTAGAAGATGAAGCTTTCGCGGAGGTGGAAAGGTTAAGCTGATCAGACGGCAGCGAAGAAGACAATCGAGGCTACGTGGCAGGCAGCGAAGTGGAGATGACAGCTGATTGGCTTGGGATTGTGGTCATGTTCGGATCCAAAGGTCCCAGGTTCGAGTCCGTAACAGTAATCATGTGAATGGAGTGGGGGGCAGTTCGCCGGTCTATGTGTACGTAGACAGATGCACGTCGGCAGACGACTGACACAT